GGGGGGGGGGGGGATCTCGGGGAAAGTGGACGACACGGTTGAGTTCTCGCCTTTGTGCGTCATGCAATAGTGAGGAGTTGGAGATTAAGAACTGGGCCACACAGCGCCGAACAGGATCATCGTCCTGCATACTACGTACCAAAGCGCTCCCGTGTGCTGGTGTCGTATTGGGAGTATGGACGTACGCGAGAGATCCTTCGTCTGAAAAGGAATGCGTGGTCAATCGCCAGATGACCAAAGTCAAGCTGTGAACGAAAGAGCATGCCCCTCTTTTGTGTGTTCGAACAAAGAAATACAGCACCCGAACAGGTCACGAGAGTTTATCTCTTTGAAGCCACAGCAGGTATCGGACGAAACTTCCCTTCGAACGGGACAATGCGGGGCCAATGGTCTAAACATGAACAGCCCCGGCCAATGGTCTAAACATGAACAGCCCCCCCCCCCCCCCCCCCCCCCCCCCCCCCCCCCCCCCCCCCCCCCCCCCCCCCCCCCCCCCCCCCCCCCCCCCCCCCCCCCCCCCCCCCCNCGCCAGTCTACGCTAACACCGTGGTGGGGCGGTCCGACGACCCCTCTCAATACGCCGGCGCCAGGAGGGGCGGCGGGACCGGGACCGGTTCCTCCGTACATCACCAAGAACTCGAGCTCTTCGGCGAGATAGCGGCCTTTTCAGGTCAATAGGAGCCACGGACCGCGTGTCTAGTTGGAGATGTACAAACAACCGAGATGGCTGTTCTTTTTCTTTTTTTTCCCTTGTGTTGGTGTCTTGTTTGGCGGTGGCGTGCATCTGGTGTACATTACGCGCTGCTGCTGTGCGCCGTGACTGAAATTGAGAGTATTTTTCCTATTTTTTGTTGGCTTGTTGTCGGGGTGGTCATGGTAGCGTGTTGATACAGGCTTTGGGATGTGGCGGATTGTAGATGTGTCAAGTGTCAAGTGTGGGTCGCTATTGCTGCTGTGTCCGGTTTTACTTTTGTTGCTCTCAAGGTAAGGGCACAGCATAACCAGCGCCGTGATGTTGCCTACGTGGCACAAGAAACCTTGAGGGAGGCTTTCCCGAAGCAGTGTGGCCCGGATCAACCGATCGTGGTTCGTGGTGAGCGGTTGAATAGCACCACTGCCAGGCATAGCGCCGGTGAAATCGCGTGGTGCAGATGGAATATTGATGTTGCTTGTTTCTTTGCGTTGTCATGGTGTCGGGGGGGGCGTATAAACCCGGTGAATATGGCGGGGACATACTAGCACCTACAAGGGACCCAAGCTGTGCATGTATCGAACGGTAATAGGCTTCGTGCAAGGGCGGCGCGGGAGAGTGGCACTACATTTTCCATGTGGACGTGGACAGGTCGGAGGTGTTTAAGGTGGGATGTGGAATGTATGTAGCGAGATAGTTCTGTTGATTTCTATGGCGTTGTGGGAGAGCGTCTGAAAAAGAATAAGCCAGACGGAGGTCGCTGGCGTTGGCTAGTCCCAACGGGTCTTGTGGTATGGCTCTGGGCTACACGGCTGAGAAACCGGACCGGTTTGGCTATTGGTGGTGCTGGGCGGGTAACGTGAAGTGAGGGGGGGGGGCGGATGAGGGCCCAAGCTTTCATAGCCTAGGGGGGATAACCCCGGGCATGATTGCATGATAGATGTCGAAAAAATTGAATAGATATATTATGTTGTCATGAGAGTGTACGCGTAGTGCCAGTAGGAAGCAAGGTCGTTTGCTTTTGTTCTTGTCGCCACTGACAGCGTGGCAGTCCTATGTTTGTACCATGGGATATATCAGACAGGACGAAGCGAGGCGCAGCAGTTTTGTTTTCTGTTTTTTCTGTGTTCACTTAGTGGCATGCAGAGGTTTATCTCTTTGTTCGTAGTGGATGCTCGACCGCCGCTCCCCTTAGGGCGCGCGCGTGCACGTAGGGGGGAATGTCTATCGACGAGGTATGCGAAGGAGACGCCGATTGCATCACACTTGTTGTTCGGCAACGAGCGAACTTGCAAGATAGGCAGGCGGGGGTCTAGTCTGACGAGCACACCGAGAAACTAAGCACGTGTTTTTTTATTCGTTTTCCCCCCTGAAAAATGTTCAACACTCACTGCTGTGCTGCCAAGCGATGCCGTTACTTTTTCTCGAGGCGTGCAATAGTACGCATTTTTTTTTTTTAGGGGGTTCAGATGGGTGCCATTTAGCTGGCTAGACCTCGAATAGGAGCAGAGCTCTGCCAGTTTTGCGCAAACAAGATATTCTATGTAGAAACCCTCCCAAGTGCTCTTGGCTCGTCGTTGTCACTCCGCTCTTCTTTCGATGCCGTTCGCAAAAAGCGGGTGTGGCCTTTTCCAGTGCGAAAAAAATGGGGCTCAGTTACGCGGCTAAAGCTTTGCGAGGTTTGTCCTCTTCACTCTTTTTTGTCCCCGGATTCGGTTCATTGAAAAACGAAATAAGAACGCTACCCTGTTGTAGGTTTGCTTACGTCGGGAGATCCATCTGCCTTTGATTCGTCCTGGTATTTATTGCGAAGGCCAAGAACCAGTTTGTTACGTGATGTTTTATATGTGCGCAATTTTATTTCAAGAAGGGTTCGATTCTGGGACTAGCGGCATCCGAACAGCACCTATGTATCGTGTGGGTTGTATACTCTGCGTGCAGGTTGACGGGCATTCATTTTTGCATGACACGTATGGTCACAGAATCACAACTAGAAGAGTTAATCGGTTTGTGTGGAAGAAATGACATTTTTTAGGTGTGTTCGTTGTGTGTGCGCCGACCGTTCTCTTCTCGGCGCCCACGGTGTGCAGATGCATGCGCAGCGGCGCAAGCATGCTGCTTGACAAGAAGGGGACGCGAAGAATGCAGTAAGAGCGTGTGCGCGTTTGTACGGGCAGTGCCTTATGATTGCCGGTGGTCTTAACGATTACGCTTGATCGAGGGAAGGACGACGACAGTCGTTCTGACGTACAATGGGAGTCAGTCACTGCTACACACTCTTCTCGCACCAAAGAAATCAAGACATGCATGCATGGATGACATAGGGGAAATGATTGTCTGCGTGGTCCCGAATCATCGCTCTGCGGTACGAGAGGATGATTGGAAAGAAAGGCCGCAGCTGGTTAAGAACATATCTTCGTCCTCCTCAGATGATAAGAGGTGAGTGTTGGGTTGCAGTTTAAAGAACAAAATGAAGAACAAGTTGTAGACTACTTTTTTTGGTGGGGGGGATGAGGGTAGCCGTGATTGGTTCGCGATCGATTTGATTTGGGCGTCAACTCGCTTCGCAAGAGACTCACTTGCAGATGAGTCACTCCTTCCTGCCTGGAACACACGCACGCGCGTGGGAACCACGGAGCTCTGTAGCGTGCTGGAGGGGGGCGGGACGGTTCAGTGCTTACTGTCGACTATTTTGTACGGTCCAAATGTTAATGTTTGTACAGCAGTCATTGTTCGTTTCGCACGAAACAAACAAGAAAATGGCCGTTTCACGTGTACACAACTCGCCACCACTTAAGAACTGGTAGGGTATGAACGCGAGAGTTCCAACCTCTCCAAACACACACACAAGAACTTGAACCCCGCCAATCCTCTAACGGCATTTTGTAGCCCTTGGTGTTGCCACGGAGAAAGTCAAGGATCGAGACTTGTGGTCGGGTGAAATACTGGAGTAGGCTCGTTGTCAAGTGTCAAGCGATGCCGCATTCCGGAAGGGGCTGTGGGCATCTATCTGCCGAACATGACGCCATGTCACACAAACACGTTTAATGTGAAACGGTTGCGTGCTCCCGGCTCTCGCCCGGGGGCGGCACCACGAGACGGGCACAATCATCGATGTCCGTCGGAAGATAGATAAAAGGACAGAACAAAAAGTGTCAGGGTGGACGACTTGCCGCCAGCAGCATGAGTCTCTTTCCACTCTTCACTCGAGTCCCACGGCATTCATTCCCGTAGGCAAGCGGCGCAATCGATTCACACGACGGTCGTTGCGGCCACTGCTGTACATCCATCCCGACCATCCCGACTCCCTCAACCATGCCCTCTTCTAGTGGTGCGTGTCGATCTGCAAATATCTAGTGCATGCAGTCAGTGTCCGCTTAAACGAGAACATTTTTGGTCACTCGCGTTGACGAGAACCCTCCCCCGAGTCTTCATGTCTTCATTGAGACCGGTGAGGTTTGAGGATATTGTCCGGTTTCAGACACACGTGCGTGCACGATTGCACGATGCTACAGATCAATTCCCCAATGACCAATACATCCTCCGAAACCGTTGATCGCGCCGGTGAGTCCACCGGTTCAAGTAATCTCCCTTCACAGGTCGGTGTCGCGGCAACTATCAGCGGCATTAAAACCACAAAAATGTATTAGCTTCGGCTCAAAAGCCCACAAATCTATCAAAGACGGCCGTCGACCGACAAACGAGGCGACCACATCGCGACGCACAAGGCATGCATGCACACAAGGCCAACACGGCAGACCAGAACAAGACAAGCGCGGGCAACATTCTTCCCGTTCATCTCGGCCTCAAAATTGCGAACCTCGCAACATAACCAACCCTCCCCCCACAAGCAATCGAGAGGATATCAATAGTAAGTAGTCGGGAATGGCACGAAACCACCGAAACCACGAGCGCACTCCAACCAACCACTCCCTCCCTCTCCATAAGAACTGACCACTCTCATTCTTCGCTTACGGGATGACGTACGATACAAGGGCTGGTAATACAGTTGCTGCTGCTCAAGTCCCTTTGTGGTCGAAGCTTGTGGTCGGGGTTGAATACCCCCCCCTCCCCGAGCGCCGATGCGAAACTTGACTTAACCCTCTCATTCCAGCGGCTCCACCGAACACACGCGGTCACCCTCATACAGTACATACTTCCCCGTTCGCTCCAGCGCACCCTGTTTGTCCACGGGAGACGAGAAGCTCGATTGAGAGAGCAACAGAGAAAAAATTGGCGGGAATAAAACGCTCCTCTCAAACACATGCTTCAAAAGTCAGTCAGCACCTCAATCCCCGAAGGAAGTCTGGCCCACACCCTCCCAGTGGAACCCTCCGCCGCCGATGGAATCGTCCACCATCTCGTCGTTGCCCTGGTAATGGTTGAATGGCTGCTGCTGCCTCCGCCCTCGTCCCGCCGCACCGCCCCCGCCGCCGCCGCCGGCGGCCCTCTTTCCAGCCGCCGACCCGGATGATGACAGTCCCGCCGCGACCCCAGCAGGTATCCAACTCGAGGAAGGGACGCCGCCCGTACCGCCGAACGGCCGCACGCTCGACGACCCTTTGCTACCTCTTGCGCCGACCCTGGCCGCTGCCCCCTTGCCGCCGCCTCTGCCCTTGCTGCCACGCCCGGCCGCGGCTCCCGCTGCCGTCGCCCTCGCTCTGGGAGCCTTCGGTTTCTTGGAGCCTCGCTTGGACCTGTTGGTCTTTCTGTCGCGGGCGGTCTTCCGGACCGCGTAGCTCTTCGTGCCGGAGGCGCCGCCGGCCGGGGCGGCCGCCATCGCGGCGAAGTCGATGCAGCTGGTGCCACGGTCGCGGTGCTCCCTCACGTTCGAGAAGAAGCGGAACTTGCGGGGCGGGGCGCGCTCCCCCCCGGCCGCCGCGGCTGTGCTTCCTTTTAAGCCCGGGAGACTGAAGTCGTCGTCATCGTCATCGTCTTCGTCTGAGATGTCCTCCACCATGGCCCCAGCCCCGGCTCGACCCTTGCCACCGCGGGGTGCCGTATCCCTGTCAGGGCCGCTACCGTCGTTGTCGACGATCTCGGTGAGGTCTAGAACCTGGCCCGGCGAGGGGGCCGGAACCCGCCGCCGACTTCTTTTCGGGGACGGCGACAAGCCCTCGACGCTCTGGGGGCGGCCCTGCGGATTCGGTGACGTATCCACCCCTCCCTCCGGCTGCGACCGCAAGAACCTTTCCTCGATCTGGGAGCTAACCATCTCGTACTGCTCGAAATCGTCGCCGTCTTCGTCTAGGTAGTCCTCGTCGGAATCATCGCCGTCGTCATCGTCATCACCCATCCCCGCCGAGAACCCCCCTAAGTCGTCGTCGTCCTCGATGTCGGAATACAGAACGTCCAGGTCTCCGACGAAGCCTCCCATGCCGCCGCCGGCACCCGCCGCCGCCGCTCCAACCTCGCCCCTAGCGGAGCCGGCGACACCACCATTGTGCTCCCCTCTCCCGCCGTCTTTACCCTTGCCACTACCGACCGACCCGTTCCGAGCACGACCGGTACGCCTCACGTCTTCGATTTCGCCGGTCTCTTTTCTCCCGGTCGACGACGACGCCTCCTCCGAACCGCCGTGCCGCCGCTTGCCCGCGCCGCCAACAAAGTCTTCGCCGCCGTTGCAGCCGCCTTGCTCTCTCGCACCCCGCTCGGGGCGGGAACCGTCCCCATCGCCCCCCGAATCGTCAGCACCGCGACCGCTGCCGCTAAGACTACCGCCGGCAGCCGAGCCACCTTCATCCTCATCATCGTCAGCGCCGCCGTCGCTCCACGCATTATCTGCCGAGTCGCCCTTGCGGCCCGCCGCCCGGCGAGTCGTCATCCCCCGCGGCGGAGATCTCGGCGTCTCGCAGGCCTCGCACACCTTCGCCCTACCTCGGTTCTTTAGCGTGCACGTGCCGCACTCCCACTCCCCCCTGCTCCCGCTTCCCCGGGGGGAGGACAGCGGCGGCCCCGTCGAGGCCTGAGAGGTCTGAGACCCGGCGCCGCTGTCCCAGGCGAGCCTGCCCAGCACTCGGCTCTGCCGGGGCGACTTCTTCTGCTGCTGTCGCCCGCCGGTCTGCCTGTCGGCGGTGGCGGTGGCGCAGGGCGGCGACAACAGCTCGTCGCCGCCTTGTGGAGGCCGCTTCCTTGCCCTCGGCGGCGGCGGAGGCGTGTCCACCAGGCCCATCGCCTCGGCACCCGGGCTGTCCTCCGCCGCCGCCGCCGCCGCCGCCGCTGTTGCTGCACTCTCGCCACCGCACCGTTGCCGCTGCGGTGTTCGCGTGGGAGGGGGCGTGGTCGCCGCCGCTGCACTGTTCCCGTTGACACCGGTGGCATCTGCCGGGGGGGGCGTGGGGGTGGGGGTCGCCGCGGCAGCGGCAGTAGACGCGGTAGCAGCTGCAGCTGCAGCAGCGGAGGCGCCGGGAGGAGCAGAGGAAACGGCCGTTGCGCCGGGGTGCTTGACAGCTTCCTCGAAGGCGGGGCCAAGATGCACGGCTCCTCGCCCGCCGTAACCAGTATTGCCACCGACATCGCCGTCGTCGTCTGAGCTATCGCTTTCCGAGCTCCCGATATCCATCATCATGCGGCACCGCGTTGGACCTACGGCGGCGGCGGCGGGTACTCCAGCCCTACTAGAAACGTCAGCGTCGTCCTTCGATGGGCTACCACCTGCGTTGGTTGGTACATCTTGTATTGGGCTGTCGCCTCCCGTGCTCTCCCGCTCTCCCTCCCCCTCTCCGAGGCTGGCACCGTCTTCCTCCATGTCATCATCGTCCTCCACCTCCTCTTCCGAACCGCCGCCGCCTGCCACCGCCGCCGCCGCCGCAGGCATGCAGCCATTGTCTCCCGGCCCTTCTCCCGCTGCTGGGACGCTGCCACCAAGACCGTTCTTACCACCGCTGTGATCGTCGTCGATGTCGGTATCCCCACCTGGGCCAACGACGCCGTCGTCGGTGCTTTCCGTATCGCTACCCAGCCCTGAACCACCGGGGGGAGGCTCAGCGCTGCCTACGTACATCGAAGCGGCACCGGCAGAGGCGGAAGGAGGTGCATCAGCAGCCCTAGAAGTAGATTCAACATTCGCACCAAAAGCCCTATGAATATCAACCGGGCGTTCTTCCGACGAGCCGCTTCCGCTCTCCCTACTCTTTGCCGCTGTCACCGCCGTCGCCGTAGGACGGGTGCCGACCTCATTGTGGTTCGGTTCCCCACCCTTTCCCTCCGCCCCCTTCACTTCTGTGGAACGCCCAGGTGTGCAATGCCGCCCGGGTGAGTCATTCAACCGCGGGGAGGATGACGCTACAGCCCCTGGGGTTGGCGGTGCTGGTTCCCTGTCGTGCTCGATGTGCGCACGCTTCCTGGGCGGTAAGCTAAGCCTCGAGCGTCTGCCACGAGCAAGCGAGAGAGAGAAGCGAGCGCAGATCAAATTGCGGCGGCGGCGTCGGGGTCAACACATGCTTAGAGGGCCATTGCCGCGTAGTAGGCCAAGAGTGTGTATGGTGTGGCAGTGCTGGCTTAATGCTCAGGGGCAATGCAAGCCTACGACATATGGGGGATCACCGCTCAAGCACCTCTTGTTTCGCCTTGCCGTGAGCCATGAGTCGTATTTCATTTGCACGGCACCCCAACAGGGACTAGGTTAGAGTGCGGGATTCTAAACTAAGCAACTGTTCCCATGGTCAAGGCCTTACTGTTTGGTGTTTTTGAGCCTGTATTTCTTAACCCGCCTGGTTCACTGTACCTGAATACAGCCGCACAGTATGCGGCAGGCGGTAGGACAAAATGAACGCGCCACCCCCAACCCAAAACCTCCCGCATTCCCTACGCCTGGCAAGGTTATTTTAGACGGAACTCCCAGCAACAAACGCGCTAATTGGAGCGTCTTGACCCCATAAACAGCAGTGCGGAGCCCTCCGCCAGCTGAACAGACTCCTTCTAACAGAGAGAATCTGACATTTCAAAGGCTGGTCGTCTTCACGCCTGTCGGAACTTCGAAAGCCACAAATTGCACGTGTGCACGTGCAACAAAAACATTGACCAAGCAACATGTTGAAGCGACAACGCACGAAAACTTACCTCTTCTTCGGCTTCTGTTCCTCAACTCCGACCCCTAGCGAGTCCGCCAACGTACGTCCATCGCCCTGTCCCGCCCACGCCCCCCCGCCGCCGCCATCAACCGAGGGTTCCACCGCATTGCAGCTGCTGCTCGCCGCTTTGTCGCCGCCCCCGTCCCCCCGCACCGTGCCGCGACTCCCAGGAGACATGGCACCGCCGCTGCCGCCGTCTCCACACGTCGTCGGGGTAGGCGGCCACCTCCAAGCCGGCCGTCTTCTGCCGCCCCCGGTGGTAACGGCACGATGCAGGACGAGAGGCCGGTCATCATCGTGGTCGCGATCTCGTCGGTCTTCAACAACCGCGTACGCGCGATCCCGGAATATCTCGTCGCCCGGGTAGGACGGAAGGGGACGCTGCCGCTTCTTGCCCTGCTGGCGAGGTGCTGCACCCCCGCCGCACTTGCGGCCCGCGCTCTCTCGCTCCTTGTCCAGCTTGCGCTGCCTCGCCCGCTCCTTCTGCCTGGCGGACCAGCCCCTCCCGAACAGGAGCGGCGTCTCCCCGGAATAGTCCACGTCGTCGTCGTCTGTAGCAGCCCGGTCGGACGCCCCATCCCCACCGCCGCCGCCGTCTACCGACACTACCTCTTCGTCTAAATCCTGCTCTTCTGCGCTATCTTCCACTACAAGGGCGCTCTCTGTTCGTTGTTGCTGTTGCCTCGCCCGGGAAGAGGACCGGGTGTTCGCACGCGGCGGTCTCTTGGACGATTTGGACGATTCCGCGGTCTCCTGCTCTTCTTCCTCTTGAACGGTCTCCGGTCGCTGCTTCTTCCCCTGGCGGCCATTCGCCTTGTTCCTACCCGTGCGAGCCCCCGCCGCCGCCGCTCTGCTGTCTTTGTCGTCGCCGTCGTCATAGTCCGCGAAGCTGCTAATTCGCGGAGGGCTTGCCGCCTTCGGAGGGCGCAGCCGGCTGTCGTTGCTCCTCCCGTCAGGCCGTCTGCCCTGATTGGGCCGTCTGCCCTGATTGGGCCGTCTGCCCTGATTGCACACCTGGCAAACCGCGGCACTAGGGTCTTCGTTGTGGAAGGTGCACTTGGGGCAATCCCAGCCGGTGCCCGCTGCCGCCGTCGCCATGTCCGACCAGCGAGACGCGACAACGGCGCCGTTATTTTTAAATCTGCCTGCTGCCTGTAATGTCCGCAGGGAGCCCACGGCTTTAGGATTCAAACTAAACTCGTGTCAGCACGCGAAGCGGGAGAACGCGCGCAGATTATGGATGCGTGTCAGAGTAATGATTCGTGTACCACGCACAAACCATGGCGGCCACAGCCCTCCCTTGCGTGCGCGCCAACAACGCTTTGTGGGTCAGGGGTTGCAGGTCAGAGGTGGTAGCAGGTGCGGCGTGCGGCGTAACCTACAGCGAGGGGGTACGCGGAAATCATACACCAGTTTCATTATTAGACTGTACATCCGTGGCGCCCCTGCCCCACTACTTGCACTTGTATTGGAGAGTCACAACAGCCGACTCAAATAGCAGCGGCAGAGCATGAGAGAGAAGAGAGAGCCATGTCGAAAAGAAAAACGCAACCACGAAATCGGCACGTCGTTGCGGTGATTGCCCTCCTCATTTCGTCGGTGGAAGGCTTCGCGCCGCAGGCACGGCAGACACACCGCTATCACAGCTCCAACACAGCTACTTGTACTGGAACAACCGCTATAGCAGCAGCAGCGTGGTCATCGGCTCAACAACAAGCCTCGCGGCACCCGATGCGCCAGCGAGGACCGTGGGATGGAGTCGGAGCTCGTCGGCGATCGGGAGCCTTGTGCCAAGAAAGGTGGGGGTTTGGTCCTGGAGGAGAGGGTCCAGCAGCAGACCAAAGAGCAAGAAAATTCCCCCCTGGACGCGGTCCTGCAGCAGGAAGCGCAGCAGCACGGCCGGGCAGCTTCAGCGGCAGGAGCTACCGGAGGGGAAGCAGCTCCCTGTCGATGACTCTGCACTTCCCCAGACCCCCCAAGTTGCCAAAATCCCCCCCGCCAGGTGATAAAGCGCTCCTCGCGGGCGGCGGAAAATCGGGGTCCGCTGGTTCTACCACCAGCAGCAGTCATCATAAGAGTCAGAAACAGCAGCACACCGTCACGACTGCGGGGGGACTAATGCCACAGTCTTCAGCAGGGAAGTCGGGAGGAGGGACTGCCGCGAGCGAGGGCATGACGGGCGTCTCGGACCTGGATGCGAAAGAAGGGAAGGATTCGGCGGGGCATGCGAATGGCCCAATGACGGGCCTTAACGGGAGCAAGGTTAGAGAGGGGGGCTAGGCAGAGGTTCGGACGTTTCGGGATAGCCTGTAGACGCACAGCAGTCTTGCGGTGTAGTGGTTGCTTTCGCGCACCGAAAAGAGCCCTGTGCGTTGCTCTCAAGCTGCACTGCTGTCTTTCGGCACTCGATGTCTGTTACCGCACGACCGCTGCAACGTTTCCTTTAACGCTGACGCAGCCGTGCGGGCATGCGGCCCGCTGTTGATGCACGCACGTAACGCTTGTAACGTACAGCTCCGTGGCTGAAATACCGGAGTCCACAGTTAGCTACGTAGACACCTGCTATGCCTATGCATACGACCACGAAGATCAAGATTGATGCGGAACTGACTCGCGAGCATACCGTCATCTTGTGACACGATGCCAATGCAATGGTACGGTACGACGTTGAAACACGTCGCCCATTCCCCCCCACCTCCCCGTTCCGCAAATCATGAACTTGCACCCTTTCAACCACCTCAAGACGATTAGAAGACGCCGCATCAACGGCAGCAGTACGCCGTCATCGCGCGCCAGCGCCCCCGGTACCTCACGCCCCCCAAAGAGGCGCGTTGGCGTCACCCCCACTACCAGCGGAAGCGGTGCAGTAGGGAAAAAGCGAAAGCTTCAAAGGCCGCGAAGCGGCCCCGGTTCCGTCTCCGGGGGCGGCGGGGGGCGCGGCGTGCAGGCCGTTGTCGTGAGGGGCGACATGGAGCTGGCTGAGATGAGCGAGATGATGTCGCTCGTGCTGGAGAGGTTGAGCGAGACCGAAAGAGAGCTGAAGAGGATTCAGAAGGAGGGATCCCTGGCCAAAACCAACAGGGTGAGTGGGAAGGGGGCTCGTGGGGAAAATTCGGGGGGGGGGGGGGGGGGGGG